GCACATTGGACGATATTTTACAATACGTAATCGAGCAAGACCTAAGGGAGTTTGACTACGAAAAAGTTCATACTTTACTGTTGAGTTTTCATTTGTACACAACTGTTTACTGTCTATTATCAGCAATAGACACGAAGTAATTTTGTAATTCGAAGTTAGTCCTTTAATAGATTTTGGCAGCTTTGCTTTGACTCAAATCTATGGCCAACTGCCAAATACAACCTGATCAGGTAACTCAACTGTTTATTTCCATTTTTCACGCCACTTAGGTATTATGTACAAACGTTAGTCCTTATTATAAGCTATAAACATAAACTTTCACGCCTCATGCTTTGAAAGGTTTAGATATCCACGTAGTAGTGTCTGTGAACGCATTCACTTAGGACTTCTTAAAACTAGTGAATAAATGTTTAAAAGCTTTTTTTTAAAATCTTACACATAAAACATTGCAAATGTTGATTTAAAAGCTTAAGCCAACGTTGTATTAATTAGGTGGCATATACCAAATCAAAAATCACGATGATTATGTGGCTTTATCGCTCATTAACTCGATTATGACGTTTAAACTAGCAATATGTGTTTTAGTTAAATCTCTTTTGTATGTTTTGACCGTAATAGGATAGGAAAGTTTATTTATTGACAAAAATATATTTAAAACTTTTGTCCTCTTTAGCTCATTGGGGAAGGTGCTAGATTGTTGGCTAGACAGCCCTTACGTGGAATCATTTAATTGTCCACCAGATTTTCTTGATCTCAACCGATTGTTATTTGTTGCATCTCAATGGTTTCGGGTATTCAGCTCCAACTTCCAACCTTTGAGATGGAAAGCTACAAAGCCGAAGGATTTTTCCCAAAATCAACTTGTTATGAAGGCCAGAGGCGCCATTCGCTCTATGACGAAATTGTGTCAAATGGATATTGCACGCATGATGGAAGGCATTTGCACAAAGGTCAACAGTGCTTCTGAACAGTTCCATCTACAGGCTGGTATATTTAAAGAAGCGAACTGTGATAAAGATTGCAACGGGGTCTGTTCAGGTAATATTTTGTGAGAGATCAGCAAAGCAAATCAACGTATCTTGCCTAATTTCCTTGTCCATGTATATCCTAGCCTTTTTTTATTTTAAGGAAGCCCTGAATTTACTTCACCAAAAGGTTGCTCACTTTATCATCTCTCACCGCGATACATCGCTGAGCAGCTTACCTTGTATGACGCAGTAAGCACACTTTAAGTTGGATTGTGTTTTGCTTATAAGGCTCCGAATTTTTATCATTCAGCTTTCAATTACTTAAACTTCGTTTACAGGATTTATTTCTGAAAGTCCTGCCGTCGGACTGCCTTAATTATGTTCGGCACCGGCCAGCTCCTACGGTAGAGCCGACAATTCAGCAATTCAATCGCATTTACGGTGTCGTTCTTACCTCGATTATTGAAGCTGATAATCCAAAACCGTCTGTAGCCGTAAGTGCTGCAACTCCCTCGTTAGCTTCCCTCACCCTCTCCATGGTTTCAACTCCACTGCAATATGACCAACGGATGTTAAGCAACGGCGGACGACACGGCGCTCGAGTACACTCTTCTGTCGACGTACCGTCTTGCGGAAGTTTTAACCCGAACTCCCTCGGTTTTGCTTCCGTCCGAGCTGAAATGCTGTCCAAGTGGATCTCCGTTGCAGCTGTACATCTATTTTTTTATTGTCAGTTCATGCCACCCATAAGATGCTCTTTATTTGCTTCACCCTAGATTTAGTTTTAAAAAAAATAAATTTGTAAATTCCCTACAAACTAACTTAACAAATTATTATATTTAGCCGACCTCCCATTGTTACACAAGACCTGAACACGAGTGCGAAACTACCAAGTAAATTGGTTTGCCACTGTTTTTTTATAGAACATAGCCCTGCCTTTAGCTTTGCTTTATTTGTTCATTACGAAATCTCACTGTCAGAAAGTCTGACAAGACACTTCTACCCAGAAAACCTTTTAACAGTCCTTCTTATAGTGTCAATATTTACTGCCACAATATTCAAATTCGGTTTGGTTTTTACAACCATTGCAGGAGCTACGTGCATTGCGGAGCTTCTCAGCATTTACAGCCGTAATGACTGCTCTGCAAGGAAGCGCAATTGGAGGGTTGCACGAAACATGGAGCTTTGTTGAAGCGTACGTTTCTTTTAAGCTTGACTTTAACGATGGTACTATTGGTGCGCGTGATTTTTATAGGCATCGGGCGTTTTGTGTTATTACAAATACTGCCTTGCTTATTAAACAGTAATTCCACCAATTTGTTTTCATGTAGTGCATTGCTGTCTCCGATACACATCATTTTTGCCATTGTTTTCTTGTTCTAGAGCTTGGTTTGCTTCACGTAGTAGATACCGTAAATTTAGGCAGCCTAAGATTTTATTCCAGCCTCACTAATTGTGCGCAAATTGCTCTGATTTGTGCTAGTACTGAATGTTAAAATAAGCGGGTAAAATATTTTTACTATTTAATTCATTTACGGCAGCAGGTGTTGAATGTTTAAGTTGTTAATATAGTTTTGATGGCTTCAGTATTGCATTGTTTGGTGAAACTTTTTAGGTGGTTTCTTTGCAGGAGGCTAATTCAATATGCACGTAGTAGAGCACTCATAATTAGTTGACTGAATCGTCGCTCTATATAAGGTTTCGGTTCTTAACACCGTCCACAAAATTCGTGGTGATTATGCCGCATAGGTTTAAGCGTGGGTCCTTCTTTTGTTGCCTACTACGCCAGTTTGCTAATAGCTAATTCGCTAATCTTGATGCAAATCACTTTTGTTTATGTCCTTGGAAACGGACTTTGACCAACCACTTAAAAATGGTAGCACGTGAGCCACTAGTGAACTTTGTGTGCTCTTCCCTCAGTCCAGGCAATTGCCACTGTTTATTACTAAAATCGAACAAAGCTGATTTACGTAGTCGCAAAGCGAAAGAAAGGCTCTGATCAGTTACTGACTTGATACTTGTTTGGTGTTATTGTTTTTAAATAGGATGGCAATAGCATAATCAGAAGGTGACTCCTCTTTATGAAACATGAAGCTTATGAAACATAACCTAGGACTGGGACATTAAAAATACTTCGTCTAACCCAAATATCGACAATGTCTGTCCCCGATGTTGGTTCTACTGGTCTTTTTTTAAAATCGCAATGCGCCACAAATATTCAGACTTATACGAGATTTTGTTGTGCGACTTCACTGTGCAGTATTACCAAAAGCCCGGTGCTGTTTGAGGCTGATTCAATCGTCAAAAATATCGTTACCTGCTTGCTTGCTAGTCCGCTGAGACAAATCAGTGGTTCAGAGTTGGCATTTAATTTGATACCCTAATTTGTATACCCCTATTTTTCTCTTTGCTCTTGCTCTTTACTGTCAGCAGCAGTTGGATCGACTTATTTTTAGACATTATCCTGAGCAAAATGAGGTTTTTCACGAATTAGCTCAACTTCTCACTTTGGAGGACAACAAAAAATACGCAAGGGAATTGATGGACCACGTGAGTCTTTATTATGCATTGCCTAGCGACCACGTTTATTTGTACCACAGTGTTTTCCGTTAGCAAAACTTCATTTTGTATACTGGTCACCATGGCAATGATCTTGCGCTAAGTGGCTCCTACCCATGTCATAGTAGTCTTATAACCATTGATTATAGCTTAAAACAGCTGAAGTTAGTTTGATTTTCTAAGCTGTTCAATAACCTCCCCCTTTGTACTAAAGCCCACGTTACTGACACCAATTTTCCAAGAATCTACATTTTGAATAGCTTTTAAAATTCTTTAATATTAAAATCCTGTTACAGCAGTGGGCAAATTATTGTGCTGTAATAAAAAAGGATATTCATGCATTATACTAGGCGAATCTACGTTGTGTGATTCAGTGCGGAAGCAGTTTGTGAAATTGGTAAGATGTCAATTTGAAAGCGCGGAATTGGCCAGAGTGCAAGCCAGCTTTGTTTTTTATTTGAGAATGAGTGAACTAGTGTCGGTTCAAAATCCAGGCTGAATCAACCCCGTTGACTACCTTAATGTGCTTACAAGTAACCTCACTGCATGTTCAAAGCCCTTTTGATAGACTGGCTTTAGCACAGCGGAAGCACACCTTCCGCACCCGTGTGGGGTTCGAGTTCAAGGCAAGTCGAATTGGCTGGATCGCGTTGAATTTTTAGGTGGCGTTCAGGGTTCAGGAATCCATTTGGAAGGTTCCCGTGGGAATCCTGCTGCCCTATTAAAATCGAATTCAGTTTATAAGGAAATTCTTTTCAAAAAGTTAGACTATCTTAAGCTTTCCTGGCTTTGTTAAAATATGGTAACAATCAGCAGCAGCATACTAAATGTTGTCTCTTTTCTAATTTTGTTTAACTTGAAAGTTGTGAATAAATTCGAGCTTAACCCTTAGCAGGCAGACACTCCGGAGAGGAAGAACGTCATAGAAATTCCGGAACATAAAGTAGCATAAACAGTAAATGTATGCAATAATCCAGATGCTTACTGCTGAGGAACGAACTGAACACCGTTCTAACGGAAGTCAGTAGTGAAAAAAACGAAGGATTGTACAGAAATAACAACAAATGTTGCAACTACCAACAACTAACATTGTTTTTTCTGACAAGTTAAATTGGGAATGATGTGTTGGGCGTTAATCTGGCTCTTTTTTACCGGTTCAGATTTACTCGAGCTACGAAATTGGTCGCCATCAAGATCTTCGCCACAACATTCTCTCTTCAATATTTAGACGAAAATGGAGTGGAGAATTCGTTTCAGTAAGTAAATGCCAGGTGGTGGCTACTAACAAGCTTGGTTCCTTCATATGGGAGAGCTGTATGCATAATATATCGGTAAGAAGGGATTTCCTTCTCTAAAATCAAGTCGTATGTTACATGAGCTTCAATCTGAGAGAGGGAATATTTCGCACCCAAATTCATTCAAGCACACAAAGTACTGGCGTCACTAGTATGTTAGACTGCAGTTCAGCTTAGCATTTCATTGGCGCTAAATCCGCGAAGATGGATGAAGCCCTAATGTATGCTGTTATTTGAAATGACCACTGATTTCGAAGTGATTGCGGGTTTTTTAAAAAATCACTAGAATGGGTTGCATCAACTTCAAACAAACATGCACGCAAGGTTTTCGAGAAGCTCATTTAACGCCTTGAGGGATTTCCAGCATGCTCAAGCGGTGTTTCAAGGCTGCCATAATCACATTAACACCGTTGCTTCTCTTGTTATGTTGATAAAACCAGTCGCTCCCGAGCTGAATCCGCCTTAGTACTGTTGTGGGTCCAACCGTTTGCCTGTTCATCTAGCCGACTAAGTTTAGCTTGTTTCAACTAAAAATTTTCAGCGGAATTTTCAAAGGACCTTTAACAGATTTAATTTGGATATGCTTACGTAACTTACGCTAATGATTCTTTGGTGAGTCACGTAAAATTGACAGGAGTACTTGCGTGGAAGTGTGTTGTGTGATTTACACACTCTTACCTGTGCAGACTAATAAAGGCATTCGTTAACTTCCCAGCATGTATACTTTAATGTATTGAAGTGTATGCGTTTAACGAAATGATCCACAACTCAAACAAGTACATTGCTTAAAATTTATACCTTTTTGGTCCTTGGAGAAAATAAGATTCCAAAATCTTTGCTTTTGAAATCCGGCTGACTGTATATCTAGTTGCTAATACAGCATTGGACCAGTTTTAGTCCTATTGAAAGCATGATGTCAAATGAAATCCACCGGGAGTATTCGTGGGAGTATGTATGCACTGTAATTTATAATCCAAATAGTATCTATCATCTGTACAAAGGAGCATAAAATCAGATTTTCATGGAATCGATGAGGTTTGGGAGTAAAATTTGATCTCTACCAGTTCTCGTCAAAAATTTTCTGTGTCATAATGAGGATGTTATGAATTAGTTATTTCGTCACCTATAATGGGTCATACAAGGCTAGTTTTACTAAATTATGATGTTATAGTCCCTAATAATGCATTTCTGTAAGGTTGGGTAGCCCGTGGATAATACCCAACACTTTTCTGCTTATGCATTCGGTGTGTAGATAGGAAGATTGTCCCGAAGTGCTTCAAAATTTGAACGGTAGCTGCGGTTTTCCGCTCTCTGAAACCTGTTAGGATTTTTTAGCGTTGCCGTTTCATAACCAAACTACAGCTGATTTATCAAAGTTAAGGATCTTTTAAAAATGCCTAAATGAATGTACATCTTGTTTCCAAAAGATAGCCTTTTATTGTGCAGATCGAAGTATATCACGACATTTACAGAAGTTAAAAGTGAGGCCTCAAAGGTTGTCTTCAAGCTGCAATTAATCCTATCTTTATTGTCTTACTTAATATACTTTTTTTTAATTCGATAGCTTGCTTTCAGCCTAAAATGCGTATGTTTACAAGCAGCTATTCTTCTAAATTTTAGTCACCATTTTAACGACCGAACTTGACTTTTAACTTAAATTGTAAAGTTAATTTCTAGTATAGACTTCCTAATGCTTTCAGTGTAATTCGTCATAAGTATTCCTGGTATTAGTTATCCCACTAATAAACTGAACAAAAAGGAGGCGGTGAATGGTTCAGCTTTAACCCTCCTCAGTGCGTTTAGTTTATGTGAGCGTAAGTAACGTTAACCAGGATTCAAATGCCTCAACTGACTAGGCGCTTGGAGACAAATACGTGGGCTCATTTTCATCGGATGAAAAGTAAATTGTCCCATTTATTCACTACATACTCCAGAAACAGAACCGAATCAATTTGATGTTCTTTTGGGTCGCCCTTGTTTTTGCGCGAAATTTCTTATTTTCTGATTCTTCGCCATTCGCAAACTGCATCCTTGTATTGCCAAAGTGCCTAACGTAAGCGCAAGTCTCCCTGGTTCTAAATAAACCTCCCAGGGTATAGCGCTAGTGTACATCATTCAAGACGTACCAGTAATGACACAGCTTTGCTAAAATATTTCTGAAGTTAATAAATGGACTACCACAGTGGACGATACCCAATGCGAATTTTTTTGCATTAAAATTATTCATGCTGCTGATGTGTGTGGCCTTGCGGTAAGGCAAAAGACGACTTGGCAAGCCCGTTTTGTATCGGTGTGAGCTGCTTACCTTCGTACTTTGTCTGTCTGTCTGTAGTCACATAACTTTTGTGAAACACTCTTACAAGGCTATATTAGTACCACTGCTCATAATTAAATAAGGTTAGGTTATAGCACGTGATTTCAGTCTCTGATGCGTAGTAATTTAAGTCACCAGTAGGTTGCTGAAAGCACTGTCGCACAATTCAAATCAATTTATGTACAAACTAACGAAACCGGTGGAACCGAAATTTACGATGTTTCTACATACAAAGCTTAAATATCAAACCCAAATTCTACGGTTATATTTCAATGTATGATTTTCATATTTCCCACTTGAGGCGGTTGGTCTTTTCAGCACGGTGCACATGTACTAGACTTCTGAACCATTTGACTAATGAGCCAAAATTAAAGTTTTCTTGGTCACCAGTTATTTTTTTTAATTAAGGAAGTAGAAGTATGCAAGGTCGCCACTTTTGGGCTGGATTTATTTTCGTGTTAATACACCGAGCTGAGTTTTACGATGTTCTTGTTGAAATTTTAACGTGCACAGCGAAGGAGCCGAACCATCACTTGATTTTGGGCTGATAAGGTTATTGATATGTTTGAATGCTAGGCCGAACTTTTCTACCTTATCAATCAATTATCTTTGGCAAGCAAATTGGAATACATTTAGCACATCCAACGGATACATCATCATCACCTTCGCTTTAAGGTAATTCCCCTCAAACCCTCCTCATTCACCTGCACTCAGCTTCATAACCTTACTTTGCCGCACCAAGATGAATCATTATTTTTTATGCTAAAGTGATGTGAACATCGTTTAGACCTCCATTTCATTCACAAAAATCGATGTCCTGAAAATAGACGCCAATATGACCTCTAATTGGCTTACTTGCTTATCTTGCAATTTCTTTCGGACTGATAATGCCATGTTGTTCATTTTTGTGGAGAAAATGACCGCACCACTCACCGATCCCACGACTAACTGCACGTCATTAAAGTACTTAGTTTTCTCTAGATTTTTATTAGTAATAAGAATGGGTGGCACTGATTAGCTTCAAGACTATGTGTTAGTTTAAAAACGGTGATCTGAATTGTTTTAGAATGAAACCAATATGATGAAGACCATGGGTACAATTCCCTATCTCGGCATATTCCTTAACGACCTTGCAATGCTGCACGAGTCCGCTCAAGACTTGGTGTCGCGACCCAAACCAAAACCGCGACAGCCTCCAAGCCACGCAAACCTGATTGGCATAATGGGCGACCACCGTCGACGCCTCCCGACTCCATCGACACCCCTTCAGCCCCCGAGGCGACCCCCCAGACAGAAAGCCTCGATGACCAACTCCGAGGACGACACTGCGTCCCATAGGGTCAACGCCCCAAAAGCCGTTGACAACCGTCGTCGAGGCGGGTGTGATAATGACGTAAGTCGTTTTGAAAAGTGTTGCTGATGCCGTGAATTGGTGACCACCACTGGTACCAGTTACGAAATTTGTTGGTGATTGCACTATTAGCCGACCCTCACGACTCACGCGAAGTCCATACTTCAGGTTGGTTAGAGAGTAGAAGGCAGTGGTAGTGAAATGCACTTTTTAAAGCACGAAAAGGAAGCCGTTTCGTTTTGATTCTCGAAGTGTTTAGTAGCAGTCTTTCGGAGAATATGTTGCACTTCAAAGCCAATGTATTCAATGTAGAAATAGCATTTTTTATTTGGTGAGATTTTTTCAATTTAAGACCATATTTTGTAATTTTTTTGTATTAATATTCCAAGGGCCGTCATTCATTGTGACTGTGACAGTTTAGAGTGTACTTTAGTTAACAAATTCCTTATAGGACGCTGGATTTGTTGGCGTAATGTATCAAACATATTAGCTTGCAACTTAACAAAAAAGGAACCTATTTTGACATATTGGTAATTTAATACCGATTGTATTTACAAAAAATGGGCCCAGCTAAGGTAGCTTGTCAAAACGATTTAAGGAGTGAATTAAAAGCGAAGGCTTGGTTTTTCGAACCGTCTCAGGACATGTTCCTTTCAACATCTGGGGAAATCCCTCACTGCCGCGACGTCAAGCGCAGACAAGGTGAGCCCGGGACCCCCGGGTTCTCGGTCTTCCCCTCTCAGCTGCAACCCTCCAGGCGAAGAGCCGCATCCGCCTCGCCTAAAACGCGCGACTCTCAACACAACGGCTCGACACCTCAAGCACAAAGCAATGAATTGATTAACTTTCGCAAGCACTATCGCGAATATAAGGTCATAGCGAAACTGCTCAAACTACAGAAGACTGCCACTCGGTACAGGATATCCGAAGATGTGTCATTCAAGAAATGGTTTGCCGATCTTACGTTGATTACCGAAAATGAGGCGTAAGTAAATTGGATTTACCCCTAGTTATTTCCGTGAAGGTGACCACATTGTCTCTCTATCAAGGGATGTTTACGCCGTTATTCATTGTCAATACTGCCATGACGTTGTGGTTTCATTTAATCCATGTGAGAATCGCGATGTTACCTGCGATAGATTTTATTAACACATCAATTGACGTAGATGCATAATTATAGCAAAACATCAAAGCACTTGCTCCCTAAATCTCTGGTGGTGGTACTACTACAACATCATTCCATCCTACTTGTACTAAACGTATTGCTGTAGGATTTCTAAGGTCTTAATGGGGCTTCCTTTCAAAATTAGTTGAAAATTTCTCTGGTCGCACACACAATAAATTTACTGTTAATTATTTCATCGACATCACAATGAATTCAAATGGTTAAGGCAATTAACGTGATCGAATTCAAGAGAATGAAGGAATACATACTTCATACGCTGTCTTTAATCTTGGATTACCCATGACTTATCAATTGTATCAAATTCATCTAAATGCCATTTGGCAAGCAGTGTTGTTTATTTAAGGTATCACTCTTAGTTTGTGTTATTTGTTTTTTTAGCAATCAAAGAGCCAAAGAACTGGAACCATCTCCGAGCAACTTAAGGTAACTCGTCTCCATTTTGTAGGACTTTGCATGTTATACGCGCTATTTTTAATTTCTTAATTTTATTCTGCGTTAAATTTTCGCATCCTAGGATGATCACGGGTCATCATTCGGGTTCACTGGAGGTGCTGTACCAGGATGCAAACACCAGCCACGACGAGTCCCTTGGCAGTTACCTCTCTTCACCCACCCCGCCGCACCTGATCGTCTCGCCGTGCTCGTCGGTGGGATCGTATTCGCACCACCCCAGGATAAACAGAAGCAGGAGCAGCAGACGATCGGTAAAGCTACCAAACATCTGGCCTATTTTATATTATCACAACACTGTAAATCACAAATTCATGTGTTTTGAATGTGGCGCACCCCACGCGGTGTCTGTGTTTAATATGAGCCTTGTAACACCCAAAACTCTTCCATACTTACCCCACACGTGCAGGATCAAACTGTATCCTCTGCATCTAATTAGGGTTACGCGATGGAACGAACTAACGTGCCAGTGGAAGTAGTAGGTAGATGAAGTAGGTTTCAGCATATGAAATATAATTGCGATTCAGCTTTATTCACTCGTTACATCAATTATGATTACACACCGTCTTGTGTCTTACGGTTTTCTCAAGGTTTCCAGCTTATAAGTAACTAATTGCCAATTTCGAAAAACTACGCCGATCACCACAACCGCACGCGCAATGCAACTTTATTCAGTCTTGTGATATGCAAATCTAGCAGTCAGTTCACATAATTTTCTTCAGTAAAGATCACACTTTCCTGCCCTTGAAATTGTTTTTTTACCTGTAGCATGGCGTGAACGCTAGCAAAAAACACTCAATCAATGGATGGGGTGTAGGCGAAACCCCTTCCAAGGATTCCACCCAGTCAAGCAACCGATTAAACAGTATGTTGTTCAATTAATCTTCAATGAAATAGCTTAAGAATTGTGGACCTCATCAACCCACTTGTGTCAATCTAAAGAAATTGGTTCTTATCCATGCATATCACTGATAAAAAGATTAAGAGTTGACATTTTAAAGAACTGCGTACCTACTCATCTGAAGATTAAGAATTTGTTTTTAAATTTTGTACCAATATTTATCTGCGGGCCATGATGGAGGGTCTACAACTGGCCATAAATTTATTCAAATCGGTAACAAGTATTTTGTGCTAGTCGAGCTTACAATCTCGAAACTAAGGCATTGCAATGGACTAAAAAGACTTCTATTTTTCAAGGCCTAATTTCAGGTCACCTATTTTGCGATACTGATTTTTTATGTTGGATCATTCTAAAAACATCGATATTTTTTAGTACCTTCCCTTCTCCCGGAGCGATCATCAATGTCTCGAGCCCACCACCGAATATGTTCATTCAAACAAAAACTAAGCAACAGCCTCCGACGACCTTCATTTTCAAGCAAACCAGCTTCTCCTTCTAGCAGTAGGGAAGATTTAGTACGGTTGTAGAAAGAAATGCACATATGCTTATTTCACATTGGACATTACTAAAACATATTTTTGTAAAAAGTTACGTCTGCCTGTATTCTTACAATAATACCTGTATTGTTGTATCAATGGTTAACGTGCAGACCTACGCCGTGAGTCAATTTATAAGCTGCCAGCGGACGAATAATAGAAAGTGTTGGGTGTAATAAATTATACAGCTTAAATCCTAAAGCGATTGATGTTAGCATTATATCCATGTTAATAAATGCTTTCTACCTGGCGATACGCATCGAAAATTATTGCAGAGCATCTGTCATGTCTTGCCTAAATTTTCAAAGTGGATCACCGTCAAGAGTCTTGTTTTTATCTTCGAGGATCATTTAAGCCATGGTTTAAATACAGGTGTTTAATGTCGCGACGAAAATCAAACCACTCAAAATTTGCCCCATGATAAAGCCACGTAATCACAAAAGATTAGACGGCAGTATTTTGGTAAAGGCGTTAATAAAATATCAATATATTCATGATTTCAATCTATATCCAAACTGCTTTAACGAATATTAAAACAATATTGGCTATAAGCTGACTGTATTTATTGAAATCGACTGGGTGCAATAACTTACGATTTTAACGGTTAAAAAAACAGAGTGAATTTGTCAAAACATACTTGATAATGTACCTTAATTTATGACCCAGAGTTTAATTTGTGGTTGATCTCTCTAGACAGAAAGAGCTATCGAATCAACACATTTAAAAATTATGTATTGAAGTATGAAAGGCGGCTAAAACCAATGCAATGTGGCGTTATTTATATTAAGATAATCAATTATAAATATTGGGACTCCTTTCAGTCAACTATTTTATGCCCAAATCATTCAAAATAGTAACTGTGAGATGGCTCCATGAAACAAATTTATTCACAAATAACCCCGAAAATATAAATTGAATAGTTGTTCTACAATCAATAACATTGCCAAATGTTTAAACTGAACCATTATCTTGTCCACTATTAACACTGTAATTTTAATTAAGTGACATAATTAAGTATTTGAACTGATGTGGATGTTTTATTACTTAAAATCTAATGGGAAGACACGAAGTATCCATTTTACGGATAAAGCTAATTCAGACATTTTTCGAATAGATTAGAATATATAAATAAAGCTTAGATTCTTTAAAATGGATTTAAAATCGCAAAGTTATTGCATTCAAAAATCTATTGTTAATAGTAGAATAAATTTTCATGCGTTATTTCTTCAAGGAGAATCTGATTAAAAAAAAAAATGCATTTCAAAAGGAGACAAAACTTACCTAAAGTGTTAAAACTTCAAATTAATACTTTGGGCTAAGTAACGTAAAAAAATAGCATAAAATAATACAAATGTTTGATTTAACACGCAGTTATGTGTTCTAATGAGCTGAAATTTGTGGCAAGAGATCTAATAAAAAGTTGGTCCATTGTGTTATTACTTGTGTCGGGTTTCTGGTTATTAACTTGTGACCATTTAAGAGGTTCTAATTGGCACTAGGTATGCCAATTTCCAACAATTATTTTATTGTGCGTGGAATCTTGACTTGGTATTTCTTCCTGTTTTTCTTGGACTTTCCGTATTGTTTTTTTTAAATCGCGGTACATGAATTGCAATGTACAAATACCCTAATTGGGTTTATTCATTGTTCTGGAAATTATTCGTTGTACTGTCTCGCGCCTCTTGTACCTTGCTATGGCATGTCTTACGTAACTTTGAACGTGTTTTGTAATCGCTCTGGTCGATCCCTTCGTCGAGGTTGTGGCCTCTGCATAATTTTGCGGACCTCCCCAGAGATCCACTTTTGAATGCTTCTTTTGATAATTTTTGTAGCGGAGCTGTCTTTATAATGTTATAAGATCCATTAAATAGGAATTGTGAAAAGTCCAAACTTCGCCTTAGGGTCATCGAGGGTTGCAGTGTTCACCTACATTTGTGGCGGTGTCCATTTGATATTATTCGACTCATCTTTCAATATTCACTAGTGTATGCTTGAGTTGCAGATTTATGGGCTACATTTATCTGATATTCACTTTGAATATTATAAATGATTGGAAAACCTTGTTCATTCCCATTTTTCGGAGCATGAGCCACTACGTTACTCACTAAATTTATGTCATTTTTCCTAAAATGTTTCTTCAAACAATTGTTTTTCACAAAAGATATGCCTAGATCGCCTAAGGTACTTTAAATTTGTCGATTCAAGTGAGTGGGAAACACTGGGTTGCCAGCCACCTTTCGTAATACTGGAGAGATTATGTATTTATTAATGTGTCAATTCTCTTACTAAGAAGACTTGTGGTGTAACAAATAATTTTCGCCCATGTGCCTCAGAACTTCAATACCTTCTCGGGAAAATTTATGTCGTTCCTTCATTGCGTTTCCCTTTTTAGGTCTTTCATTCATCTTTGCTGCCCGCCACGTTGATGAGGAACCTGTCATCTCACTGTTAGATTATGGCATCGTCAATTGCCAGACATACATCAACAATATCTCTTGTCTCGACAGCTTCGCTGCCACGTGAGGGTAATTTGTTTGTACATACTCTCAGTCGGTATCGAGACCAACTTGAGACGGCTTGTGACAAAATTCTCGATAAATGCTGTTTGGAGAACAAATCTGGTTAGTTTTATGAAACTTTCTTTGGTGTTACATGTTTTACAAACATCTTTTAAACGAATTGGTTTGTTTATTTTTGTTTTACACTTAACTACAACGTCGTGGTGCCCTCTAGGGGCATAGATTCAGACTTGCTTCGCTGTGCAAACAACGCGGTAAACAGATAAAATTAGAGCGCCTTGGAGAAGCAAGGTTTGTCATAAGTTTGACCATGCCACTAACATGGTCGTCATCGATGTTTTGGAGTACGAACAGACCCAAGTCTTTTTTATGAACAAGCATTTAAGAACTTATGTTCGTTTACTCACAAAACTCTGTGTTATTAGTGTTGGAGTCCGTCTGGGTAGCTCAAATTCGCGGTTGGTTGCATGTGCACACATATTTCTCTGAAAAAAACAGACTTATGATCTAAAAATCTTTTTTCTAGTTCCTGCACGTTTAGTTTAAGTAATGCTTGATCATGAGTACCTACAGGTAAGTACTAGCGGAACAGTGTTGGTCAAATAATGCATTTGTCTAGTAGGTTTCGAAACAGATCAAAATCGATGACTAGTCAAGCTTCACAACGGGTCGCGCGATACCCTAATTCAGGTTTTTGAAGTTTGTCCGACTTATTAAGATTCCTTTGTTATGGAAAACGTTAACCTCAGACTCCTCTTCAAAAAAAATATTTAAAACGTACTATATTAGGTAAAATAGCAGGCCTTTACGGTTTAATGTGCTTGCGAATATTAAAAGAGGTGGGACCTATGTGAAATGAAAAAGAAGTCATAATAGTTTATCGTAACTGTCATTCTGCTTTCCGAGGTATGGCGATGGGCCAGTCAAGCCAGGAAACGGCACATACTCACTCACCTCGTGTATTGGAAGGGAGGGCTCGAGAAGTGTTGGCTCAGCATCTCATTGAATTGCTCTCTTCTCTCGTCCTACCGGAACCACTGCCGCAGACGATCAAGGATGTAGATGCTCGTTTAGCCGAGGGACAACTCTGTTTCCCCGACAAGTTAATACCAACTGAGGCGGAGCTAGACGCGTTTCGGGCCCTCGCGGAAAAGGGTAAAAAGGCCTCCTCTGCCTTGTTGAATCTGCCTGTCGATAAAATATTCATCGCACTCAAGGTATGCTCTACTTGCGTTCTTCCGGTGAAACCTTTCAGGTGTCTTGTTTCTTACCACGTATCAAGTCCGCCTTTCTTTACGCACAGAAAGCCACACTAACATATCTAATCGTGGGCACATGCTGTGCTGTTCTAGACCTTCTAATACAATGCTCAAACTGTCATTTCCCACTTCATTGAATTGCTGCAAAGGAAAGCCTTGTACATTTTTCAAATAAACTGTATGATTCAGTGTTCTTGAGGCGAAGTCCAATCCTCTACACATCCTGCCAGTGATTCCCTTCTGTTCACGTCACCTACTAATGGAACAGGGGAAGTGCGGATGTGAGGATCTTTAAAATTTATTTTGGCAATCTAAGAAAAAAAGCATAGCACAGGTAACCCGATGTGGTTGAGGTTGGCCATAGACTCAGTGTATGGACTCAAAGCGTCGTCATACGTAGTTCAAATTATTAGTGAAATGTTCTGCTTTCTTTGAAGGAACTTACTGGCCGATTTAACCACTCCACATGCATTTACATTACCGCGGTGACGGAAAAAGTTATCAGCAATTTCCTCAAGGTAAATACTAAATTGTTTTGTTTTGCCTTTTGGCCTTTCAAGTTGTAATACGATGCTAAACCAGTGCAGTTTCATGAAATGATCACATATCTATTAAAAATGCAACATTTTGTGACATACAGCTTCCGCAAGTGTGTCTTAATGGAATATCATTAGCATTACCCTGAAATACGTCTGTTGTACTTCAATTAATTACAAAATTAAAATCTTTAATTCCGGACAGTTGTTTACACAGCTTAGGTTGCAAATCCTCCTTAATGTGTTTGCATTTATTATGAAATTTTCGTGGCTTATGTTTGCGTTAGCTGTACTTAGTTAAATAAATAACGTGGTGATTCAGCCTTCCCATTTCACTGAATAAAATGGGAATTCGACGGGAGCCTTCTCAAGGTGCTAATTCAAGGTAAGCATAACAAGGGCAATGCAGACGTTTACCGACATCCTTTGATATTACTACAGGGTCAGTCCTATTCGACTGAAGAACGTTCTCTCAAGAATAGAGAACGACATCTTTCTGTAAATTGCTACCTGAATTGATGAAACGCGTGATATAGTATTTCGTGTTTTTTCAAGCACAGTAAACGCAAACCGAAACCACGACGATTTTCAATTAATGCGAACGCCCTCAGTACGATTTTTGTAATTTTGAATTCTATTACCAACGTTATATGAAAATCTTGTGAGGTTGATTTAAAAGTTTGCAAAAATTCATTAAAGGTGAAGTAAGTACTTTGCAATTCAATTCCGTAAGCGGACCATGAAATTTGGATGACAGTTTGCGTGGGCTAGTTCTAAATATCTGGCTTTTGGTGGAAATGTTAGCATATTCACTATATTACTGTATTTACTAGTTGTAATTTTGGAAATATTTGGTTGTATCTGAAAAAGATAACATGTTACTCGCGATTTCGAGTGCGTATAGTGGTAACACATGGTCAAGTGCCACTTGTGCATGCTTATCTGCGAACCAAACCCCTGAGCTAACACTAGACGGCAGCTTTGGTCATCGGTCGTGTGAAGAAGTGGTGATTTTTTATCAATGCAGCACTATTGACTGGGTCATGGAAGAACTAAAACTATTATTTGCCCTACTAAATCGCTATCCCGAACATTTTCCCCAAAAGCCCTAGTGTGCACCCCTTTGTGAACTTATTGGCAATTTGTGTCCGAATAGTGGCTTCGTTTTTTTATCTCACTGAATGTCACATAGTCGACAATATAACTGCTTTTTCTTAAATGACATGTCACACTATTCGAAGCTTGCATCGGAAGCCCACCCTTCTAGTCTTAAATTATGAAGGAAATCGCCTTTTTGTGGTTTGTTGGTGTCCTACATTTTTTTGGGTCCAGATACCGATTGATGCACTTCCTCCTTCTAAATTACCAAAGCAGGTCTGTGAAAAATTTGAGAACTAAGCACAAATGCGGACGTTGGAAACTGTAGATCAATTCAACCGTCGATTGTCTGTCTTCCCAAAGTTGCCGACAGATTTCTAATTGTTAGTCTTGAATTTGTCTACGTGATACACAGAGGTTTCACTAGTCCACATTTGTTGACATACGTATGTTCAAAGGGCCGCAACCAGCCACAGTTATTTGAGAACATAGTAAACATTTCGCCTTATCGTTTACATTTTATAATTTAGCCCACCATTGTAACTCAATTGTTCTGAACAGACCACATTTTTTGCAGACGGCTTTGCTCTTACGTAGGTTAAGCTACTGCTTTCCTCAGGTATTTTGTAGGTTTTCGTTTAATTTATCGTAGTTTATGAATGGATATTTGTTTCTGCTGTTTGAAATGCCTAAGGCAGATTTTCACTTAAGTACTATCGGGAAAAAGGAAGCGACAGCCTCATTCTCATGATGTTTGGCTTTGGTAACCCAAAAAGCTTTCCTTATATGGGGTTTTGGCCCGTGCTGTCAAATGGAAACATATTTATTGCCAATGTTATGTGCAAAATACGCAAGTATTTTTGTATTGGCTCCAGCAAAATACCGTGTTTACGTTAAATGTGTCTGCTTTTTGGTAGTTTTGTGAAGGATTTCACTGACCTCTTGAGAAAAAATTACATACATATGCCAATGTTCTACGCACCTCGTTTCATTGAATCCTTTCTTGAATTTGTTCAAGATGGTCATTTACTATGAAGAAAGCGTGCAGGTTGAACGTGTGATACGCGCCGCAACTATTCAGGTTCGTTTATTTTTCCTTGTAACTCTTGTTTGTTGCCAAAATACGTGACCGTCATAGGAACTGTTCACTTGATGTCTTGAATGTCAATAAGCTTGAAAATATACCAGCAATTTTGGAATAAAAGCCGATGGTTTTGATTCAAATTATATGCACCTCACTTGCATGTGCGCAGGTTGCCATCCCCATGGAATAGGGATTTATTTGGCACTAAAGACTTTTTCTGCGCTTTGGAATTACGATGATGTGTTTTTCTGCGTCAACCCAAGTGATCTTTGCATCTCTTGGTAGGCCATCACGTAGCCACTTTCCCCATGGACGACAACCGAGGTGGAATTGGTTTTTACCTCAGGAAATGCTACTGCGGAAGTTTATGAGCTGCATTCACCTTTGCTGTCAGAAACGAAAATTGCTTGCAACTTTGGCTAAATTTTCCCCACTTTTAGCCGTACTCTCTCCCTCCTCTCCCTACTTAGCCAAAAAACAGGCGATTCCGGAAGCTTTATAAATAAATAGTGCGAAATTCAAATGCAAGTACCGTCAGAGGTTTTCGGATGACCAACAGGCGGGTTGTGGCATCGAGGGTACAGCGAGCGCCACTTGGGCCGCAGCTTTTATGTGCGCGCGCCCGTCCGCGGCGCCGTGTTTGTGTGTGTCTCGGTCGCCGGTGCCTATCCGGCACTCATTGTTTGGCAGATTTAAGCGCCTCCGCGTATTCGCAAATGCTTGCGAAAGAAAAAAAAACTAGTTGTCGTCAGCTCCAGGTCGTAAACAAGGCTTTCACTTCAACCGCGATACGCGCTTAACTCGCCTCCTGGATAGCACTCGCGTGTTGTTGCAGGGTTTCGAGCAGATTTACTGTGGCTTTGACCATGTGCTCGTTTGACTAGAACGCTTTATTTGTTTAGAAACCATCTTCGCCATAATTTGCACACAATGATAGCGGCTGACAGTGTTGCTTTGGATCTAGGTACCGTGTTAGTCATGCACCCGGATGCAGCTGGTGTTTCTAATTAGTCCCACTCGCCAGTCTACTTTTGACTCCCTGTTTACGTAAATCTGCGTGTGTATGTGGGTTAGTGGTTTTAACAAAGTGCCCATTTTACGAATTTATTTCGTTTAAAAATATTTTTGAAAGCGCGCTGTTCTCTCAATGAGAGTAGGCAATTCAACTTGATTGTGTCTGCAATGCCGCCTTTATCCCATTATTTGTATCAATTTTGAAATGCCGAAAAGTGGAGCTTAAAACATGTTAAGTAAATTTTTCACGTCCATCATCGTCTTGCGTAATTCAGGTATCATTTAATGCCTTCAAGGATTGACGTCAGACTGCAATTAGAATACCCACGTAAGTGCGCCCTTGTCGCAACCAAATGTTTCATCCACGTCTTTTTTTCTCGGACTCACGTCATAAGAGAATGCCAGTTGAGCGGTCTTGTGCCCCATGGTAAATAGTCGCTTCTACCTTCTGTAAAAGTCAGACAACTCACTCTTCCCATATTTATTAACCGTGACGAATTTGGATGAGTATTTTTCCGTCTTGGTTGTGTGTGTACATTGGCTTAAGGTTGCATGAGCACAGTTAATCCGCTTCTTGTGCTCGACTTGAACCTCAATGGAATAAGTCCACTCCCTCCGCAGTCCCTAAGTTCTGACTTGCCACCTGATTGATGCATAACGTGTTACTTATCAGATAGGTGTAAACCTTAACCTGTTTACCATTACCCGACCGAACAGAAAAAATTCGTTGTGATATGTGTACTCGTTTAGTTAGGGAGCTTAGTCCTCTGAAAATTTTACTTAGACATGTTCAGATTTGGCTTTTTAATCTTTTAACCTTGGTCAAGTAGACTGCTTTACATGTAAACTTTTGGGATTCGCCTGTTTCCTTTATGCATGACAACCCTCAAAAAACGGAGTCACGACGCTAGCCGTTTTTGCTTTACTTACTGCAATCACAGAATCCCATACAATTTGCTCATGTCGCCTTTTTATTGAATTCATTAAAAGATATCGGAATTTACTTATTTCTAATTTGATATCATGCAGTAATCTATTGTGTGTGCTTACCTCCGAATAGAATTTATTCCATATCTACCGTGATCGCGTGAAGTCACAGCGCAGACACCCTGATTCCCTCCTTACGGACAACTTTCCTCAGGACTACAATAAGTGAGTGTGCCTATCTCCTTGCACTATCACGCCCTAGTGTTTTTTTTCTTAATTTACTGGCGATTGTCACCTTGGCCCTGGATGGATGTTTGCCAAGGTAGCGAACGAAGTAACTGCTGATTTTGCGTTTGCGGCCTATTTACAATAATTTCACTTTTGAAAAGTAAATTCTTGGGAAATTGGAGGTTGTCGTTCACCACCTACGGTTGAAGGGAAGTGCTGTAACCACGAAATGAAGTTTTTCTAGTGTGCAAAAATTAGTAAACGATTTGGAGAGGGAACATCTCTGCTGTTTGCTATGTTTTGCTAGTTGATTGTAAGTTGGCGTGCCTCGTGAGGTTGCTTGGCTTGGTATTCTCGACTCAGATCTGCACAGTCATTATCCTAGGCACTGACGTTGAGCCCGCATAAACACTCAAAGTAGCGCGTTTCGCTAATTAGCATTGATGTCGAATGAAGTACCATGGATGGTCTAGTGGACACTGAACACCGACTTTTACCAAACAGAATTTTTTATTGGCCAATTTCTGATGTCTCAAACGGTTGACACCACCCGGCTTTAGGTTTGTACCACCTGTGCAGAAATCCACGGTTGTGTACAGTAACTTTTCATGCCGAGGAGTGATTACGTTGGCAAGCGAATTCGTGTACCTGACACAGAACATCTGCTACGAGCTGAGAAGAGCGAAAACCGAGACAAGATCACATGAAACTGGGTGAAGCTTTGGGTGCAGTCCGTGGATGTAGCCAGATATAATGGAAATGCTTATCGACAGCCAATGGAAGAGGTGTTGTTAGTCAAGACTGTATTTTGTATGAAAGCCATCCTTGTATACCGGACGACATTGCTTCGTCCGACAGAATGGACAACTTTTAAATGCCTTGTGTAGCCTTGACCGAAAGAATTAAGGGGGATTAACTTTGGTAGGAGCAGTCAGAGCGAAGTAGAAATAGTGCGACTACAAATTGTGTAAACATCGAAGTACTGAAGCTAAGGTATTTGCGCCATGCAAAAAGAATTATACAATTACAACAGTTTCCATTCATTTTTTATCGAAGCAAATTGTCTTAGGTTATACTAGTTTCCCGGTACCGCAACCCTTAGTGCATTTGGTATTCCAGAAAGGACTTTCTTCCGTCGCTTTCACCACTGTCAGCTATACACTTTTATTAGTTTTAATATTTTAATGCCAACTTGGGCTCCTATCTTTTTAAAGAAAATATTGCAGGTGCTCAGTTCTAGCAATTCTAGTCATTTGCGACTTTTATCATTTTTTCGGATTCATCTTTGGCATTTTAAACTTCTTCCAACTTTCGCCCTGTCATTCTCTTCATCTTCAATCTACCTGGTAGCTCTGAGAGTGACTGCCACGTCTTGCCCCTTAAACGTTGGTTTGCGTTTCTTTATTTTTCCATGCCCGGAGGTGTGTGCGCGTGTGTGATTAGTCCCAGTGCGTCAGTTGATAGTCATACTGAGCAATGTGTGTAATGATCTTTCCTGTGTCGTAGTCATCGTTTTTCCCAACCATACACGCCGGATATCTCGTTCTCTTTTTGGGCTTGCATAAGTGAGGCCCGCCAAAAACATTGTGGGTCACTTTGTCACTTTTCATTTGGCTATCACGTTAGGCTTTCTTAGTTTTTCCTCTAAGTTTTCTGACTGCCAGTATGTTCTCGCATACCCCATAGCTTCGTTCGGTACATCCGCAATCTAAGTGGATGTATGTGTTGTCTGGTAGTTGTTAGGCTGCGTCAGGTGCTTTGTCAATCTGATGGCGGTTCTGAACATCCTCGTCATATATGCCGTTTGAAGTCACTTTATAATCGTTCATTTATAGAACTTGTGCGAATTTCTGTCGCAGTATCAAATTATGGGTCTGTGATTTCCTAGTTCTGGTTTAATGTGTAGGATTTAAAGGTTAGTTTTTAAACCGATTGTCTTGACCTTGCGCTTTTCCGGTGCGAAGGCCTTTTCGATAAATTTCCTGTTTGCTTGTTGATAGCAGAGAAGGGAAGAGAAATATTGGACTGCCGTTGCGCAAAATGCAACCTTCATCTATGCAACACTTTCCAAGTATTTAAGAATTGCTCGAACGACCTCTCAGATAGCTATTTCGCTCTAAAATTATACCTGCATTCAGAAAGCTGGAAGTCATGGGCAATTGTAAATTTATTTTGAAGTATATCGTCAAGTCAAAGCTTAGACTAATGCAACCAGCTTGTCATTCGATTTCTGCCTATGCCCAAACCTATTCATTCAAAAAGTTTTGTTTGCTTTCTAACTTGCGTGAATCACTCCATAAGCTGACCCTGAATAGCCTCTGCATTTTGTCGTCGTATTGATTGGTGTACCTTCCCTTCAATGTCGGCTTTCACGTTGATTAAACCTCTCAGATAGCTATTGTTTTCTATTTCTGCACAAGTTGTTGTGAACACTTTGGGAGCGAAATTTACTAGATACTTTTACGACCATTTATCAAATCTCTATGCGCAGCTATTTGTTTTAGCATACCAGTTCAATTTTGCTGTTTTTCGGTGATCCCATGTAATTACAATCGGTCTTCCAGCTTCTCGAATACGTGTTTAATCTACGAGTAACATGGCGAAATGAGTGAACTTCCTAGCAGTACTCACGAACTTGTGGTAATGAAGATTGCACTTGGCGTAATAGCAGTCCACACTTTCTATTCCCCTATTCATCCAGGTGGATCTTCGTAAGCTAGGGGCTCCTTCCTTCTTTAAGACTTTTATTTCCACTTAAACTTCTGTCTTCAAATAATTTTAGGTGTGTGGACGAGTTGGTAGCATTCCTTTCTTCCAGCCTTGAACAAATGAACTTGATTTTGCGAGTTTTTCGCGAACCGATTCTTCACTCGGCTTGTGCCTCTTTGGATTCGAATTCGGAGGAGGCAGCGATACAAGAAGTCTTTGGCGAAGCCCTCGACCTCTACAACAACTTCCGTCTTCTCCTCGACTACCTCGAGTCCGATTGTGCCGACGAATCGCCATTCTCATCATCTGATTGTCCAGCATCAAGCCAGCAACAAACGCTTCCGGATTCCTGTCATTCAATTGGGTCGGCCCCACCAGAGAACCGACGTCTCGTCGGTCGTCTTCTGTTTGAACCCGCTGAGGACATCGCTCTCGCTAGCTACTCGAGCTCACCAGAGCGATTCAAGAGTGTCTGGAGACTTTCAGAACGGCCTGAAGTCATGGAAAGCCTCGCGAGACTAAGTCGTGTTATTGTACACACCGTCGCACGATTAAAGGTGACTTGCTTTCGCAATTCGATTTGCGCTAATTGACTTGAATATCGGATCCATCATATTAGCCTTTTCCCATGTTTCTGTCTGAAGCCCTGTTTCACGGAATCGACATTCTTGCAATCAGAACCCAGCTTTAACTATCTCTATAATTAATTCTTGAAATCGTCTTATCGGCCTAGCGCAAGTTTCTGCAAGTTTCTTAAACTAACCGGTTTAGTACTGTTGCGTTCACACTTTCAGGCGACCTCATCTGATGTGGTGGAACCCCGTCTCGTTTGTTTTCACTCCCTTTGCTGTCCTTCTTGTCGTCTGTGGGATCAAAAGGAATTTTCACCTCTAGCCACTGCCACCACTACCACCAAAGGCACGATGTCATCTGCATGTCAGTGCAACACTGTCGTTACCTGCTTCCGCTACCTCCTCCCTCGACTTCTGCTCCTTCCCATTTTCCAGTTTCTTCACTTTTATCGGCTTGTAAATGTAAGCCTCTGGTCTGAGTAAAAAATCTTGTTGCCTTGATTTTAGCAAAATATCGTGTATGTACTGTAGGCTTAAATTCTTCCAAAAATGATTAATCAATGCGCACTTGTGTTACGTTTTGCCCGTAATTAAGACCACACACTCCCTCGGATAACTGGCACCCCAGATCCCTTATCACACGCTAGCCACTCCACCCTCAT